TGTGGCTGTAGGGACTGTCCCCGTGGCGCTAGGAGGCGCCTTGCGGCTGAAGGGACTGTGCCTGTGGCCTAGGGGGCGCCCTGTGGCTGTAGGGACTGTCCCTGTGGTGCTAGGGGGCGCCCTGCAGCTGAAGGGACTGTCCTCGTGGTGCTGGGGGCGCCCTGCGGGTGAATGAAGGGACTGTCCCCATGGCGCTAGGGGCCCCTTGCAGCTGTAGGGACTGTCCCTGTGGTGCTAGGGGGCGCCATGCGGGTGACGGGACTGTCCCCGTGGCTCTAGGGGGCGCCCTGCGGTTAAATGAAGGGACTGTCCCCGTGGTGCTATGGTCCCAGCTGGATTAGACCAATGTGCTGCTGGAGGTGATATCCCAAGCATGTCACTTGGGGGGCGTCATGCTGCAGGAGAGGCTGTGCCTGTGTAACACCAGGGGATGCTGTGCTGTTGGAGGTAATATCCCCAGCACGGCACTAGTGGGCACTGTGCTGCATGAGGGGCTGTCCATATCTTAAACCCATTTCATCTCCCCACTGCTGATGGATGAGCCTTTAGTTATGGTTCACTATATTTCCTCTGTGTATGTGTGTGTGGGTTTATGTGCTACATGAGCCCAGTCCCTTTCTACACTCCCCTTATCATAGACAGCCTCTCAGCACCCCCCCTCCAAACCCAGCCCCACCCTAGCTACACAGTGCTCAGCCTTCAATGTGTATTTGATGAGTATGTTCTCCTTGCATATATCATGAGCACCTTCAACCCTGGCTTTTCTCTTCAGTAGATCCCGTCCCCATCAGCATTCACCTTCCCCACTTTAAGCCCCCTTGGCTCATGTGGAATGGGAGGGGCTTTCATTAATGCGTGGGATGTCTGTGAATTTTCTCACAGGCTGACAATATTTCCAGGCGATCTTTCCTCCAGATCCGTCTGGTTCACACTTTTCTAGAGGGTGATGACTTTATTGCTGATATGTTGTTGTTCTCTGTCTGGGGCGTGAGCGGGGTGGGACGTAGGAGTGAGCACAGAGCTCTCTGCTATGGATATAATTTCTTTTGGTCACAAAAAGCCAGCTCCTTGTGAGGTGGAAAATCAGAAGCCATTCAGTGCCGGTCAAATGACACAGCCTCCTGGGGCACTGCTTTGGCAGTGACTCAGCGAGAAGAGCGCCTCATCCTGAGTCTTGCAGACCACTGCCTGTAGCACCACTCACCCCAGGGCTATGTGGGCCGTCAGAACGACTGCCTCCTGCTGGGCTGTGGACACCACCTTCGGTAGCTCTGCATCGTCTAGTACCGGCTGGGGTATTGGGGTCAGCGCTGAGCGGGGGGCAGTTTCCCCTGCCTTTCTATGAGCTTGGCTTAGCTGTGTTGGAAACGGAGCAAAACATGTGCAATGAAGGGTTAAATGCCGAGCAGCTGTATTTAAGCTAGCAGGTTATGTCTGGTGCGTGGGAGGCAAGTGGGAAGTTGGGAGGTAGAAGGGCTGGAACACACAGGCCCTGGGAATTGTGGGATAGCATTGGTGGACTGTCCAGACTTGAGCCTGGCATCACATGCTTTAGCTACGTCCCAAAAGTGGGCAGGCTGAGACATTCACAGCAGCAGAACACGGGCTCGCGCTATGCCCCCAGTTGAGTCAGCAAGCCTGTGTTCTGAGGGTACATGTCTCAAGGCTTTATGTGTGGATGGTAGGGGCATCTTGGCTTAAACCTGTATTAGAGCCCACGTCAGACCTTCACCTTAGAGAGAAGAGCATCTCCTGCTGGATTACAGAAATACCTCCCCTTGGGCTTTCCCCGAAGGGCTGGACAGCGAGAGAGAGTTGTGCTGCCCCAATGAGGGACCCCGAATCCTGCTGACAGGGGGGGGTCAGGGATGTCTTCTCCACTTCAGCTGAGGGGAGTCCCTTTGGCAATTGCTACTCAGAAGGGAAAGCAATGCAAGTGTTGACTATAGGGGGGACACCATCAATCTCCCTTTATACCCCAAGGCCAGAAGGTTGGGGATGGTGTCTCCAGTGTGCGCCCACTGCTTGGGTGAGGTAGGAGGTAGAGGCCTGGAATCAGTTCCCTCAGTGAAGTCAGGAGACAGCATGAAGTACTGGAAGGAATGAGGGTTTGGGAGCCAGACACTCCTGAGTTCCGCTCTCTGCTCTGGAAAGTCCCTTACCTGGGGGGGGAAAAACAACCTCTCCGTGCCTCAGTTTCCCCATCTGTGACATAGGGATGGCAATGACTGGCTTACATGTGAAGCTTTGGTAATGTCTGCAAAGTATGAAAGCTGTGGGAAAGGGGACGATGAACAAGAGAGGTGGCTGCTTCCCCCTCCAGGAAACTGAATTGGGTGGCACCATCCTGGGTAAGGGGGTTGCAGCCGGGGTGTGGAGGAGAATCCTTAATGGAAAGACTGCTGTGTGCCAGGGCTGAAGCAGTGAGACTCTCAAGCCACTGTTTGTTTGCAGAGAGAAAGGGAGTTTGTGGCCTTGCACTTTGGAAACAGAATGAGAATTCACTGGCGATGGACAGACGTCTTATCTGGGTCTAACGGAGCGTGCGTGCGGTATGTGCACCTGGGGAGCCGGTGGAGGGCATGACTGGAGCTTTGCTAACCCTGTCCCACACACGCTGTTGGGGACGCAGAGCATGGGACCGCGATACACCCGGGGACAGAGCCACACGTAACTGAGAGAGAGAAAGTACCCACCCAGGGAAAAGGACACGGTGGGAGAGAAAGTTACAGGGAGTGGAAGGAAGAGGAACATGGGGAAAGGGGGAGAGAAAGGGAGAAAGGCCTAGTGATGGGGAAAAAAAGAGACAGAAAAATACACAGCAGAGAGAGAGGGGGAGTGAAACAGAGAAGGAAGTGGAGAGCTATGCGGCAGAGGGAAGGGGAGTGAAAGGAAGAGGCAGATACCTAGTGAAGAGGCAGCAGTATAACAAAAGGAGGGAAGGATTGAGAGGAAGAGAGAAAGAACAAGAGAAAAGGAAGGAAGAGAGAGAAAGAGAGAACCATGTCGCCTCAGGGAGGTGAGGCCATGGACCACCTTGGTGAGAGGTCCAGTGTGGGGGTCAGTTATCCATTTCTCCCCACATTGCACAAAGATTACAGTTGGGAGGCAGATGGCAGCCCAGTAGTTTTACCCAACAGCCTTTGTACTGGAGACACCAGCTTATGTGATCAGGAAAGTGCCGTATCGTCCAAGAATGCAATTAGTAGTGAGCGGGATGAGACTCTGAATCTGCGCCATTCGCCTCTCCCAGGCATCTCCCCAGCTCGGAGAGTTTATGGGAATCTCCTGAGACTCCAGGCAGCTGGTTCTAATGCTG